GATATATACATATACATATATATAGTACATATTGTATATACATACATATATATACAATATATATATATGTACATACATGTATATGTATATATCTGTAAGTTAATAAAGCAGTTAAGTAACCATAGGCACAACAGTATTTTCCTCAAAAAAATGTGGTAAGGGATATAATACAAAGAGAAAGGGCGGGGATACTTTAAGATGTTAATGGTCATTATGCTTGGTGGTGAGATTATGGGAGTTTGGAAGCTGGTGTCTTCTAATCTGCATGATACAAACATACTTCTTTGAAGAGTATTTGGCATTTCCTTGTAAAATGTCCCTCAATTTGGGGTGTCTGATGTTTTCTCATGATCAGATTGAGGTTGTAACATTTTGGGAAAGAATCTCACAGAAGCGATGTGCCTTTCTCAGTGTATTGTTTTTGAAGTTTAAAAACAAATGCTATTTTACTGTTAAAATTAAAGCCATGTATAGAAGGCAATGTCTTGTAACATGTAGGTGATGGCAAGAAAGTACACTCTACAAATGAATCAAGGATTGATTCTAAAAATGAGCTCCACATTCCTAATTGGGTGAGCAGAGAAAAAGGCTGGGATTCCCCACAAGGACAAGGAGCACCCTTCCCACTCACACTCCAAAAGAGAAGAGCAGACACCAGGGTTGGACTCTGTTAACTGTACAAAATACGGACACACAGTGCCACCTGAGATACCTCATCACTTCCAGGTGATGTACTAATGAGGCGGGCAGAGTTGGTTTCTGTGATACCCATGAGAGGGCAGGGTGTTCTTTATAAATGGAGTTGCAGCTAGTGAACTATGACAACTGGGGCCCCTGAGCGTCTTTTCAAAGCTGCACTCGGACAAAGAAACTGTGGCGCAGAGCTCACTGCCTCTGTTCCCTCACAAAACCCCAGCGCATCTCACGCTTACAGTTAGGGAGTCGGTTAATTTTTTCCTCCTTGTGTATGATGATTCATAGATTCTTTAGGACTCTTGATTCACATGTTGAACAAAAATGATCTGCTTAGTATTTGTTTACTGCAAGAATCGCAACTATCGTAATCTCTTTTCAGGATGAACATTAATCCAACTCTGTCTAGAAAAATTATGCAATTCATTACCATAAGTAATCTCTATTGTACCCTGTGATTAACCTTCACTTTCTCCCCGGTTTTATAATCTTGCAAATCCACTGGTGCTGTGTGATTGGCATCTGGTGTTCATAAACCTGCCTCACAAACAATCAATGAAAAATCTCTACATAAAAATGTCATTTTTCAGTCTATCAATGATTCAACCCTCTGTTCCTTGGTAACTTTCGTACCACTCTAGAAAGTTCTGTTAACTTTGCAGCTCACAAACAAAGCCTTTACTCTTGAAATGTTTTGTCTCTATCAGGATGGCAATTGGCAGTAGCAAAGGTATCACTGTTCAAGCACTTTTGATCAAAGTATTAAAAGTAACACAATGTAAAAGCCAGCAATGCTGAATGGTCACAAATTTCCCCATTATTGGCAGGGAATCATAGCAAAACCAAAACGAACATGACTATATCTTCACACTCATAGAGAGTAACTTTTGAAGCCATATTCCAGTTGAACCTTTAGCTGTCAGTTCATCTCTGTGATTGTGTCATCCGAATAAAGCTTTTGTCTGTGGAATGTGCCTTGTAAACTCAATTCCATTAGCAGATTTATACTAATGCCTTGATCAAGTGAGTGATTTGTAAGTGCTTCTTTGGATAAGAAGCCAAACCACATCCATGTAGGATTTTACTCAGAGAAGTCTATGATTGAGCCTTTTTTTTTTTTAAACTGGGACGGATGCCCAGTTTGGCACCAGTAAAATAATGTCAAGGCATATTAAAAAAAAAAAAAAAAAAAAACCCAAAGCAAAAAACAACAAAACAAAAGCCAAAAACCAAAACCAAACCAAAACAAAAAACAAGTCTCAAGCATGCCCCACAATAACTACAACACTGGAAGACATTTATGAACTTGACCCTAGTTCAAGCCCTCATCTATTCTCATGTACACTGTTGCAATAGCCTCCTGATGGCTATTGATAGCTCAGGTCCCAGGCTCTACCAACTACCATCAGTTTGCTGACTTTGGCCAATTTATTTAACCTATCTGTGCCTTGGATTTCTCACCTGTAAAACGGATATACTGTTGAAATTTCTTCATGTGACAAATAAGAACTGAAGGCAATGACTGGCATATAGCAAGCCCTCAGAATGTTAGCTGCTGTTATTACTGTATTATTGTTATTGATCTCCAGATCACTAGCAGGGATCATCTAAAATACAAATGTAATTGTGGCTCTTTCCCGATTTCTCTTTCCAAAAAGTTTTCAAGAATACTAACTTTTAAGATATTTTTTTTTTCATTTGCTTTCATACTTTCTTCACTTGCCTAATTTAGGTATTGGTTTAGGGCTACCATATTTGGTTTGCTGGTCAGAGGATGGGGCACCAGAATCATCTACCCACTTGGGGAGAAATGACAACTTTTCAGGCTTTTCATTCTCTGAGCAAATCCACTTACAGGGACAAACGAGGCAAAGAAGAGCACTGTATCTTAGGAGAAAGCCAGTCAAGAATGTTTAAACAGCTTAGACAATTCTGAAAGAGGGAAATCGATTCATAATTGAAAGTTATTTCAATTCCTTAATTAAAATAGAAAACCATGCAACTGATTTTGTAATTTCTGAGATGATCAGTTGCTAATTTATTTTACAGATAGGATTTGATTGGACTTCATGGAAGATATATCAATTCCATTAACTCATCATTTCTTACATTTGATTAAATTGTTTGATTTTGAAATGTTTAATAAAAAATCAGAACCCACAGTTTTGTGAAACTGAATTATACTAGAGGGCTAACTCAGAAAGCCTTGGTAATAACAATATAAAGATCAATGCCCACAATATATGAATGCATAGTCAAGGGTGCCTGAGTGGCTCAGTAGGTTAAGCATCTGACTTTAGCTCAGGTCACAATCTCACAGTTCATGAGTTTGAGCCCCGCACTGGGCTCTCTGTTGTCAGCGCACAGTCCTCTTCAGATCCTCTGTCTCCTCTCTCTGCCCCTACCTGTCTCGTGCATGCTCTCTCTCTCTCAAAAATACATAAATATTAAAAAAATAAAAATAAATGCACAGTCAAGTTATCAGGTGACATTTCAACAACCAAAACCAATGAAGAAATAGTTTCAAATGTTGAAGGTCAACACTAAAATGATCAAGCACAGCTTATCAGAACCATGGGAAAAGCAATACAAGGGTACTTGTTTGCTTAGGTGGAGGCTCATAAAAAAGCCTAAGGACCATATGCCACATCTGCTTCATAATGCAAGAAGTCATAGCCATACTTTATATTGAGTAAACTATTAGCATAGCAAATGCTAATACTATCTCTATATTTATAACACAGTGCATGGCACCTAGAAAGGCAATGTTTTGACTTTGTCGTGAATTAAAGGACTTTTCAACAGGAAAAAAATACTCTTCAAAGACTGGTTCCTAACTTTGGCTTATGATTTATTTTAGGTCACTGTATAAAAAGAATGTATGACTACCTCAAGAAATCCATCATCACTAATATTACAACATGGAACGTGGAAGACCTGGCATCATATTTGTATACAGAAATCATAA